ACAGAAATTCACCCCAGATTTGCCCCAGAGGGACAGGAATTCACCCCAAATTTGCTTTGGAGGGACAGAAATTCATCCCAGATTTGCCCCAGAGGGACAGGAATTCACCCCAAACACAGGAATTCACCCCAAACACGGGAATTCACCCCAAACACAGAATTCACCCCAAATTTGCCCCTCAGGGATGGGAATTCACTCCAAACACAGAAATTCACCCCAAATTTACCCCAGAGGGAGAGGAATTCACCCCAAACACAGGAATTCACCCCAAAGACAGGATTCACCCCAAACACAGAATTCACCCCAATCACAGAATTCACCCCAAACACAGGAATTCACCCCAGATTTACCCCAGAGGGACAGGAATTCACCCCAAACACAGGAATTCACCCCAAACACCGGAATTCACCCCAAACACAGGAATTCATCCCAAATTTATCCCGGAGGGACAGGAATTCACCCCAAACACAGAAATTCACCCCAAATTTACCCCAGAGGGACAGGAATTCACCCCAAACACAGGAATTCACCCCAAACACAGGAATTCACCCCAAATTTGCTTTGGAGGGACAGAAATTCACCCTAAATTTGCCCCAGAGGGACAGGAATTCACCCCAATCACAGAATTCACCCCAAATTTGCTTTGGAGGGACAGAAATTCAACCCAGATTTGCCCCAGAAGGACGGGAATTCACCCCAAACACAGAATTCACCCCAAATTTACCCCAGAGGGAGAGGAATTCACCCCAAACACGGGAATTCACCCCAAACACGGGAATTCACCCCAAATTTACCCCGGAGGGAGAGGAATTCACCCCAAACACAGAAATTCACCCCAGATTTGCCCCAGAAGGACGGGAATTCACCCAAACACAGAAATTCACCCCAAACACAGAATTCACCCCAAAGGGACAGGAATTCACCCCAAACACAGAATTCACCCCAAAGGGACAGGAATTCACCCCAAACACAGAATTCACCCCTAAGGGACAGGAATTCACCCCAAACACAGGAATTCACCCCAAACACAGAATTCACCCCAAACACAGAATTCACCCCAATCACAGAATTCACCCCAGATTTACCTCAGAGGGACAGGAATTCACCCCAAACACAGGAATTCACCCCAAATTTATTCCGGAGGGACAGAAATTCACCCCAAATTTACCCCAGAGGGACAGGAATTCACCCCAAACACAGAAATTCACCCCGGATTTACCCCAGAGGGAGAGGAATTCACCCCAAACACAGGAATTCACCCCAAACACAGAATTCACCCCAAACACAGCATTCACCCCAGTCACAGCATTCACCCCAGGTTGCCCCGCAGCACCAGCATTCCCAGCATTCCCAGCATTCCCAGATCCGCTGTCCCAGGCCCGGCCCGTGCGGGTTCGGGGGTGGCTGGGCAGGAACCGGAGCCCGGAGCTCATTAAGGAGCCGCTCCCAGAGGGCTCCCTCCCTTCCGAGGCTGCCGCGGCAATGGGGATGGATGAGCTCGTTAGCGGCCGCGCTAATTGGATCGGGATCGAGCGGCTCCGCCTGAGTCAGCGCGCGGGGCCGGGGGAGATTTCCTGGGGAGGCTCCTCCGAGAAATCCGGGATTTGTTCGGAGCCTCGGGCTCCGTTCCGGTCCCTCCCCGACCCTTCCTGATCCTTCCCAAACCCTTCCTGATCCTTCCCAAACCCTTCCTGATCCTTCCTAATATTTCCCATTCCCTTCCCAATCCTTCCTGATCCTTCCCAACCCTTCCCGATCCTTCCTAATATTTCCCATTCCCTTTTCAATCCTTCCTGATTCCTTCCCAGTCCCTTCTTGGTCCTTCCTGATTCCTTCCCAATTTTTCCTGATTCCTTCCCAATCCCTTCCCAATCTCCCTTCCCAATCCCTTCCTGATCCTTCTTCATATTTCCTGTTCCCTTCCCAATCTCCTTCCTGATTCTTTCCCAATTTTTCCTGATCCTTCCCAACCCTTCCTGATCCTTCCTAATATTTCCTGATTCCCAATTTTTCCTGATCCTTCCCAATCTTCCTTCCCAATCCCTTCCTGATCCTTTCTGGTCCTTCCTAATATTTCCTGTTCCCTTCCCAATCCCTTCCCAGTCCCTTCTTGGTCCTTCCTGATTCCTTCCCAATTTTTCCTGATCCTTCCCAATCTCCCTTCCCAACCCTTCCTGATCCTTCCCAATATTTCCCGTTCTCTTCCTGTTCCCTTCCCAATCCTTCCTGATCCCTTCCCAATCCCTTCTTGGTCCTTCCTGATTCCTTCCCAGTTTTTCCTGATCCTTCCCAATCTTCCTTCCTGGTCCTTTCTAATATTTCCCATTCCCTTTTTTCCTGATCCTTCCCAATCCCTTCCCAATCTCCCTTCCCAATCCCTTCCTGATCCTTTTTAATATTTCCTGTTCCCTTCCCAATCCCCTTCCTGATTCCTTCCCAATTTTTCCTGGTCCTTCCCAATCCTTCCTGATTCTTTCCCAGTCCCTTCCTGATTCCTTCCCATTTTTTCCTGATCCTTCCCAATCTCCCTTCCCGACCCCCTCTCTGGGCTGGACGGTGACACCCGGGGGACACCGAGGTGGAATTTCCGCCAGAATTCCAGGAAAATCGGGAATTCTGGTGGCGAATTCCTCATTTCCCGGTGTCCTCTCCTCCCGCAGTTCTTCTGGGTGCTGCTGCTGATCTTCCTGACGGAGCTGCTGCTGGTCCTGGTGGGGATCGTCTTCGAGAGCAAGGTGGGACACGGAAACGGCCGGGAATCCCGGGAATTCCATCGGTGTTCCCAAAAATGGGATGGTCATTACCAGAAATTCCATTGTCATCCACAAAAGTGGGATGGTTATTCCCAGAAATGGAATGGTCATTCCCAAAAATGGGATGGTCATTCTCAAAAATTCCATTGTCATTCCCAAAATAGGATGGTCATCCACAAAAATGGGATGGTCATTACCAGAAATGGGATGGTCATTCCCAAAAATGGGATGGTCATTCCCAAAAAATGGGATGGTTATTCCCTAAAATTGAATGGTCATTACCAGAAATTCCATTGTCATTCCCAGAAATGGGATGGTTAATCCCAAAAAATGGGATGGTTATTCCCAAAAATTCCACTGTCAGTCCCAAAAACCAGAATGGTCATTACCAGAAATTCCATTGTCATTCCCAAAAATGGGATGGTTATTCCTAAAAATTCCATTGTCATTCCCAAAACGGGATGGTCATCCACAAAAATGGAATGGTTATTCCCAAAAATGGGATGGTCATTACCAGAAATGGGATGGTCATTCCCAAAATGGGATGGTCATTCCCAAAAATTCCATTGTCATTCCCAGAAATGGGATGGTCATTCTCAAAAATTGAATGGTCATTACCAGAAATTCCATTGTCATCCACAAAAATGGATCCCTCTGGATTTTCAGGGCTTTCCCCCTGGATTTTCAGGATTCTTCCCCTGGATTTTCAGAAATGGGATGGTTATTCCCAAAAAATGGGATGGTCATTCTCAAAAATTCCATTCTCATTCCCAGAAATGGGATGGTTATTCCCAAAAATTCCACTGTCAGTCAAAAACCAGAATGGTCATTCCCAAAAACAGGATGGTCATCCACAAAAATGGAATGGTCATTCCCAAAAATGGGATGGTTATTCCCAAAAATGGGATGGTCATTCCCAAAAATGGAATGTTTATTCCCAAAAAATGGGATGCTCATCCACAAAAATGGGATGGTCATTCCCAAAAATTCCATGGCCATTCCCAGAAATGGGATGGTCATTCCCAAAAATGGGATGGTTATTCCTGAAATGGGATGGTCATTCCCAGAAATGGGATGGTCATTCCTAAAAATGGGATGGTCATTCTCAAAAATTCCATTGTCATTCCCAAAATGGGATGGTTATTCCCAATATGGGATGGTCATCCACAAAAATGAAATCATTATTCCCAAAAATTCCATTGTCATTCCCAAAATGGATTTTTTTTTTTATCCTTGACCATGGAATTGTCATTCCTGAAAACAGAATGGTTATTCCCAAAAATGGGATGGTCATCCCCAAAAATTCCATTGTTCTTCCCAAAAATGGGATGGTTATTCCCAAAACCAGGATGGTCATTCCCAAAAAATTGATTNGGTGGCGAATTCCTCATTTCCCGGTGTCCTCTCCTCCCGCAGTTCTTCTGGGTGCTGCTGCTGATCTTCCTGACGGAGCTGCTGCTGGTCCTGGTGGGGATCGTCTTCGAGAGCAAGGTGGGACACGGAAACGGCCGGGAATCCCGGGAATTCCATCGGTGTTCCCAAAAATGGGATGGTCATTACCAGAAATTCCATTGTCATCCACAAAAGTGGGATGGTTATTCCCAGAAATGGAATGGTCATTCCCAAAAATGGGATGGTCATTCTCAAAAATTCCATTGTCATTCCCAAAATAGGATGGTCATCCACAAAAATGGGATGGTCATTACCAGAAATGGGATGGTCATTCCCAAAAATGGGATGGTCATTCCCAAAAAATGGGATGGTTATTCCCTAAAATTGAATGGTCATTACCAGAAATTCCATTGTCATTCCCAGAAATGGGATGGTTAATCCCAAAAAATGGGATGGTTATTCCCAAAAATTCCACTGTCAGTCCCAAAAACCAGAATGGTCATTACCAGAAATTCCATTGTCATTCCCAAAAATGGGATGGTTATTCCTAAAAATTCCATTGTCATTCCCAAAACGGGATGGTCATCCACAAAAATGGAATGGTTATTCCCAAAAATGGGATGGTCATTACCAGAAATGGGATGGTCATTCCCAAAATGGGATGGTCATTCCCAAAAATTCCATTGTCATTCCCAGAAATGGGATGGTCATTCTCAAAAATTGAATGGTCATTACCAGAAATTCCATTGTCATCCACAAAAATGGATCCCTCTGGATTTTCAGGGCTTTCCCCCTGGATTTTCAGGATTCTTCCCCTGGATTTTCAGAAATGGGATGGTTATTCCCAAAAAATGGGATGGTCATTCTCAAAAATTCCATTCTCATTCCCAGAAATGGGATGGTTATTCCCAAAAATTCCACTGTCAGTCAAAAACCAGAATGGTCATTCCCAAAAACAGGATGGTCATCCACAAAAATGGAATGGTCATTCCCAAAAATGGGATGGTTATTCCCAAAAATGGGATGGTCATTCCCAAAAATGGAATGTTTATTCCCAAAAAATGGGATGCTCATCCACAAAAATGGGATGGTCATTCCCAAAAATTCCATGGCCATTCCCAGAAATGGGATGGTCATTCCCAAAAATGGGATGGTTATTCCTGAAATGGGATGGTCATTCCCAGAAATGGGATGGTCATTCCTAAAAATGGGATGGTCATTCTCAAAAATTCCATTGTCATTCCCAAAATGGGATGGTTATTCCCAATATGGGATGGTCATCCACAAAAATGAAATCATTATTCCCAAAAATTCCATTGTCATTCCCAAAATGGATTTTTTTTTTTATCCTTGACCATGGAATTGTCATTCCTGAAAACAGAATGGTTATTCCCAAAAATGGGATGGTCATCCCCAAAAATTCCATTGTTCTTCCCAAAAATGGGATGGTTATTCCCAAAACCAGGGTGGCCATTCCCAAAAAATGGATTTTTTTTTTTTTTAATTCTTGACCATGGAATTGTCATTCCTGAAAACAGGATCGTCATTCCCAAAAATGGGATGGTCAGTCCCAAAAATTGAATCACTATTCCCAAAAATTCCATTGTCATTCCCAAAAAACAGAATGGTTATTCCCAAAAATGGAATGGTTGTTCCCAAAAATGGAATGGTTGTTCCCAAAAATTCCATTGTTCTTCCCAAAACTTGAATGGTTATTCCCAAAAACTTCATTGTCATTCCCAAAAAAACCAGAATGGTTATTCCCAAAAATTAAATGATTATTCCCAAAAATTCCCAAAAATTTGGTTTGTTATTCCCAAAAAACCAGAATGGCTATTCCCAAAAATTCCATTGCTGTTCCCCAAAATGGAATTGTCACTCCTGAAAAATGGAATTTTTTATTCCTGACCATGGAATTGTCGCTCCCAAAACTGGAATTGCAATTCCTCGGGATGGAACTCTGGGATGCAGCAGGAGTTTTAAAGTGAAATTAATTTAAAATCAATTTTAATTAATCGGGATGATATCAAAAGTGAATTAAAGTCCGGATAAAAGGGGAATTGTGGGAAGCACAAATCCCCCTCTGGAACAACGGATCTTCATCAAACCCCCAATCCCAGAATTAATTGGATTTCAGGTGAAATCAACCACGACCAGGAATTAATTTCGATATGCAAATCAGCTTTGTTGATATGCAAATGAGGAACAGCAAAAATCCGGCAGATAAAAATTCCTTGGGTTGGATGAGGCAGGAACGGATCCAAACAGCTCCAAAATTGTGGATTTTATCCCAAAAAATCCCCTTGGGATGGGGCAAATCCCTGCTCTGGTGTGGAAAAGGTGGAATTTTGTGTTTTCCGTGGATTTTCCCGATTTTTGTGTTTCTCCATCCCAGATGAACGAGGTTTTCCACTCCAGCATCCAGGAGGGAATCCGGCACTACTACGACGACCTGGACTTCAAAAATATCCTGGATTTTGTGCAGGAAAAGGTTTGGGTGGGAAAAGGGGAAATTTCCCAAGGAATTCGCGATCCCGTGCCCCATTTCCCCTGGGTTTGCAGGATTTTTCCCTGAAATTCCCTGAATTTTCAGGATTTTCACCCTGGATTTTCCCCCTGGATTTGCAGGATTTTCCCACCTGGATTTTCAGGATTTTTCCTCTGAATTTTCCCCTGAATTTTCTCCTGGATTTTTAGGCTTTTCCCCCCTGGATTTTCCCCCTGAATTTTCAGAATTTTCCCCCTGGATTTTCAGGATTTTCCCCCTGGATTTTCAGGATTTTTTCTGCTGGATTTTCCCCCTGAATTTTCAGAATTTTCCCCCTGGATTTTTGGGATTTTCCCCTGGATTTTCGGGATTTTTCCCCTGGATTTTCAGGGTTTTCCCCCTGGATTTTCAGGATTTTTTCCCCTGGATTTCCCCCTGGATTTCCCTGAAATTCCCTGGATTTTCAGGATTTTTCCCCATGTGTTTCAGGATTTTTCCCCCCTGGATTTTCAGGATTTTCCCCCTGGATTTTCGGGATTTTCCCCTGAATTTTCAGGATTTTTCCCCTGAATTTCCCCCCTGGATTTTCAGGATTTTCCTTGGAAAATGGGAGCAGAGGGAAAAACCTCTCCCAAAATCTTCTCCTGGATGATTTTAGCGCTTTAAAACCGGGCAAACCCAGCCCAGGCTCGTTTTTATTCCACGGAGGATTCGGGGTGACTTTGATTGGAATTTTTTAATCTTTGCTGCAGGAAACAAAGAGATTTTTTTAATTTGAATTTTTTCCCCTTTGATCCCAATTTATCCTGACAGGAAGAGAAATCCCGGAGGGATTTGTGGGGTGGCCGAGAGCCCCCAAATCCATCCCTGCCTGGGGAAAAATGGGATTTGTCACCTGGAATTAAAGCGTGGAAATGGGGATGGAGCTGAGCCCCTCTGAAATGGGGATAAATGGGAAAAATTCCCTTTTTTGTACTCTGAAACTTCCCTGGGAGCAGGGAAAATTGGGAAGGGGAATGGGATCGGAATTCTGGGATTCTAAAATTCCCTCATCCCAGGTTTTTCCAGCCTGGCCTTGGACACTTCCAAAGGATCCAAAAATTCCCTGGGAATTCCATCATCCCAATTAATCATGATCCCAATCAATGATAATTCCCTGTTCTCCCAATCGTTTTTCCAGGATTTTTAAGGAATTTCCAGGGCTGGAAAAATTCCCTGGGAATTCCATCCGGGCCCTTGCCAGGGAGGGATTGCCCCCCAAAATCCCAACCCCAAATCCCTTTGGAGGGGGAATCGCTCCCCTTTTCCCTGGAATTT